GTCCAGTAGTTTTCTTGCTGAGTCTTTAGGGTTTTCTAAGTATACTATCATATCATCTGCATAGAGAGATAATTTTACGTCCTCTTTGCCAATTTGGATACCTCTTATTTCCTTGTCTTGTCTTATTGCTATCGCTAAGATTTCCAATACAATATAGAATAAGAGGTGATAGTGGGCATCCCTTCTAGTTCCTGTTCTCAAAGGGAATGCCTTTAATCTCTCTCCATTGAGAACAAGGTTGGCTCTCGGGTTTGCGTATATACTATGTTGAAGAAATTCCCTTCTAATCCTATTTTGTTGAGTGTTTTAATCAGGAAAGGGTGTTGGATTTTGTCAAAGGCCTTTTCTGCATCAATTGATAGGATCATGTGGTTCTTGTTCTTTGCTTTGTTTCTATTATGAATTACATTAATTGTTTTTCTTATGTTGAACCATCTTTGCATACCTGTTATGAATCCCACTTGGTCATGGTGGATTATTATTTAAAAAAACAGAAAAATTAGACTAGCCATGAAAACGTAACATTTTTTTCTTTAAAATAACTTAGATAAAAGTATGAAAAAATATTTACAAAGCAAATTAATAGCACATAAACAAAGGGGATGTTTAAGCTACAAAAATGCTTAGGAATTTCCACTTAAGATAAAATTTCTACACTCTTCTCATTTGATTAATCTTTAAAGAGCATTTCTATTTGAATATATATCTATATCAAGCTAATTATCTACCATATTTACTTAGTTTTCAGTATCATAAGGCTAGCAGTGTAGTACGCAATGTGTCCAGCTGCTAACTGAAAGGTCAGTGGTGTAACCGCATTACAGCATCAGAATAATAGAGGGTCACTATGATTTGGCTTGATTGGATGGTAGTGGGGATTAACATCATAACTATTCAATTATTTAGTTTTTCTCTTAGCACAAATCCTTTCTTAATTTCATGCCATAATTAAGAACAAAAGGCACAACTCTCCAGAAGAGATAGCCATCACTGACATCCTCCAAGAGTCTCACCTCTTTGATGTTTTTTCCTACAGAGAATATTTGGTTATTAACACCAGGGATACCTTTTTACCCTGACATTTCTAATCTCACAAAAGCCCAGGGAAAACCCTTAAGGTAAATTATATTCTTTTTTAGTAATATTGCTAGAGAAAGAGTATTCCAGCTGGTGCTTTGGAAAAGGTAATAAACATTCTGACATGTAATAGGTAGGACTGGGAAGAACTCAAATATAAATATGTGAATTTTCATACTTTTTTGTTTGATCCAATGTAATAATGGTTCCACATATAAACATTAACCTGAAATCATAAACTCACCTTTTCATAAGGTAAACACTGACCCCAGTACCAAAACCAAGCTTTTGCATAAATGGAGAGGCAGGAATATTTACACATGGAGTTGAACATAGCACTAAATATGAGAAAAAGAAAAACAAAATAAAATTAGTATCTGAGAAAAAAACCCTCATTTTCTTTACATTCACAACCTGCATTTTACTTACCATTTTCAATATAACCATTACATTTATTACCTGGTATAATCTTTTGGAGAGCAACTTGATAGTATCATAACCTTATAGGGTGCCCTGTAGGGAATTTTCACTGTTAACTCAAAGGCCATTACCTCTCTGGCAGTTCAAATCCACCAGTAGATCCATGAGAAAAAGTTGGGCAATCTTGTCCCATGATATACCCTTGTAAATCCAAAGGAAAGCCTGCTATGGCAGTAAGTGACAATACTTTTACATAGATACTTTCTGACCAATTCTAATTTTGGAACTCTAATACGAAATAACACTGAAGGAGGGGTAAGAAAATGGTCTTTTTTGTATAGCTAAGGATTATTTTTTTTAAGTTATAAAAATGAAACAAAATAAACATATATAACAGAAGTCTTATGTGATCTGAAAAGCTTAAAATAGTTATTGTCTTTTACTAAAAATTTGCCTACTTGCACTAAAGTGTATACCTACAGAGATAACACACACAAGCATATCACACATATGTATGTACATATAGATAGAGATGTAAATAGTGGGATTTAATTTTGTGGCAAAAAAGAAACAGAAAAACCAAAGTCATCTCATTAGAACAATAACCAAACAAATTATAATACTTCTAATTATAAAGCACTATAAATTCATTTAAATGGAAGTGAATTTATTTCTGTTAATAAAGAACTAACTTCATGTTTTGGCATCCCACTGTAAACTTGAACACATGACAACATATAAGCTTTCAGACAACTGAAAACAAGAGAGCAGGCCTGTATTCTATTAGTGTAGGAAAACAAATCACGTGAGACCTTTCCTTGCTCTTACTGCTTGAAGGGCATTTCTAGGATGCCCTGAAAATAAGCCAACAGGGCATGGCAGTCCTGCCAAACTAAAGAGATTGGGTGGTTAAAAATAGTAGAAGGTGAACAATGGAGGTATAGAGAGGAAGCACCAGAAATCTGAAATAGTTGAACAGAATACTTCAACAACCAACCAAAAAAGACTAAGCTAAGGATTCTAACAAAATGTGCAAAGAGCTGGAATCAGAAAATTAAAAGAGAACTCAGTCAGCATTTCTCAAGCTGAAAGAACTGAAGAACAAACTCAAGCCTTGAGCTACAATACCAAAGGATGCCATGGGCAAAATCCTCAATGATCCAGGAAGCATCCAGAGAAGATGGAAGAAATACATAGTCCCTTTGTCAGAAAGAATTGGCTGACGAAGAACCATTTCAGGAAGTAGCATATGATAAGAACCAATGCCAATAAAGGAAAAAGTTCAAAGCTACACAGAAGGCTTTAGCAAAAAATAAGGTCCCAGGAATTAGGATGGATTATCAATTGACATATCTCAACAAACAGATGCAGCCCTGGACAGGCTCACCAGGCTGTGACAAGAAATGTGGAAGACAGTATTGGTGGTATAGTAGTGAGCATAGCTTCCTTCCAAGAAATGTGGAGGACAGATTCCTGGCCAACTGGCTGGAAGAGATCCTTATTTGTTCCCTTTTCCAAAAAGGTGATCCTACAGAATGTAGAAATTAATGAACAATATCATTAATATAACATGTAAGCAAATATTGCTGAAGATTATTCAAACCAGCTAGAATAGTACATCAACAAAGAGCTGCCAGAAATTCAATCCAGAAGAAGTTGCAGCACGAGGGATGTCACTGCTGATGTAAGACAGATCATAGCTGAAAGCAGAGGATACCAGATGGATGTCTACTTGATTTTATTGACTCTGCAAAGGCTTTGTGGATAATAAATTATGAATAACATTGAGAAAAATATGAATCCCAAAACAATAATCCTCATGCAAAACCTAGAACTAGATTAAGAGGCTGAGTCCAAACAAAGCAAGGGAACATGACATGGTTTAAAACTGAAAAACATGTGCATCAGGGTTGTGTCATATCCCTGTATCTCCTTATCCAATTTGTTTGTTGGACAAATAATTCGAGAAGCTGGACTTTTATTAAATTTTCTTTTATTTTTATATTTTTTATTTTATTATTTTGTGTGTGTGTGTACCATCAAATCAGATCTGACTGGTACAGGAGGAGATTGTCCCTCCTTCTCCAGCAGGAGTATCTAGTGGATTTGAACCTTGCGAGAAGCTGGACTTTTATTAAGAAGACTGTGCATCAGGATCAAAGAAAGACTCATCAACAACCTGCATTATGCAAATGACACAAGTGACAAGGACCTGAAATGCCTATTGAGGAAGATTAAGGACTACAGCCTTAATAGATGAAAATTTAAGTTGTCAATGATTTAATTTTACTTGGATCCTCAATCAACACTCATGGTGCCAGCACTCAATAAATCAAGAGATGTACTGTATTGGGAAAATCTGCTGTCAAGAACTTCAGCAGAGTATTAAAAAGCAATTATGTCAGTTTCAAGATTAAGGTGCACCCAATCCAAGTCATGGTCTTTTCAATTGCTTGCTATGCATCTTAAAGTTGGACAATGACTAAGGATAACAGAAGAAGAATCAATGCCTTTGAGCTGTGGTTTGGGAGAGAAGTACTGAATATCCCATGTACTTCCAAGAGAACAAATAGGTCTGTACTAGACAAAGTGAAATCAGGGTGCTCCTTGAAGGCAAGGATGGTGAAACTCCATCTCACATAATCTGGATATGTTAAAAGGAGGAGCCAGTTCTTAAGTATATCATGCTTTAAAAAGGTGGAGAGTCAAGGTATGAGGAAGATCAATAAGGTGGACTGACACAGTGACTGTAGCAATGAACTCAAGTGTGTTGGAGATGGTGAGGATGGCACAGGACAGGGCAGGGTTCAGATGTGCTATTCCTAGGGTCACCATAGGCTGCAGTCGACTTGACAGCATGTAACATGGGATATTCAGTACTCTTCAATACAATCCAAGGCATCAATTCTTCTGTCATTCTTCCACAGGAAGTAATTCTAATGATCAGGAACACTTTAGTCTTTAAAGTGACATCCTTGTCCTACTGCATATTAGAAGTCATTGACAGCAGATTTTTCCAATGCAACAAGCCTTTTGATTTCTTGACTGCTACGACCACTGGTATTTCCTGTGGGTTCAAGTTAAATGAAACCATTGACATCTTCAATTTTCTTTTCGTCTATCACAATGTTGCCTACTGGTCCAGTCGTAAGGGTTTTTATTTTCTGGGTGTTGAGATCTAATCCTTATTGAAGGCTGTAGCCTTTGATTTTCTTCATTAAGTGCTCCAAGGCTTCTTCATTTTCTGCAAGCAAGGTTATGTCATCTACATGAAGCAGGCTAATGATCCAATCCTGATGCCACATTTTTCTTCATATAGTCCAGTTTCTCAGGTGATTTGCTTGGTACACAGACTGAACAGGTAAGAAACAAGAACACAACCCTGATGCACATCTTTCCTAATTTTAAACCATGCAATATTCCTCTGTTCTTGTGTAGACAACTGCTTCTTGGTCTATGTATAGGTTTCACATGAGCACAACTAAGTGTTCTGGAATTCCCAGTCTTCTTAATGTACTCCATAATTTGTTATGATCCACACATTCAAATGCTTCTGCCTAGTTAATAAAACACATCTATATACAAAGGAAAGGAAAAGTAGAAAAAATATTTTCTCAATGATTCAGGCTAAGTTGAATCTTCACTGCAGAGTACTCCAAAACCTGTTAGAATGTTAGTCTCCTATGGAGTACCTGGTGAGTTCACACTGCTGACTTCTCAGTTACCAACTGAACTTTTTAAAACTGAACCACCAAGGCTCTTACAAAATGAGTCTGCAGATAACCAAATTCTGGCCTATAAAATAAGTCTTATTTGTTAAGAGGAACATTAAAACAAGAACTTGTGCTAAAGGTGATTTTTGTATGATAAAGAATAATTAAAGGATCATGCAATAATGATACTAACGTATTTTTAAGAGCAATCTTACCAGATTTCCTTTTTTCAGATAATTTGCTTGGTGTTTTGAAATTATTTGTTTCTTCCATTATAATAACCACTCTAAGTCCTAAGATGAAAATAAATTGAAAGTTACATCACATTTATAAAGAATAAATGACCATAATCATCACACATCTCACGTACAAACACATATATACATATATATTTATATAATTTACACATTGAAATACCATAAAAAAATGCATTTGTGTTTAAAACAAGAAAAC